CCTTCTCCGAGACAGATCCGTGTGTTCTTTCCTCAGTTCATGGGATATTCAGTGCTCTGACTCCAGAGTTCAAAGTCACCAGTTCTTCTGTCATCCTAATTCATTGTGCAGCTCTCAGATGCACAGCAAATGACAGAAAAGACCATGACCTGAATCAGGGACACCTTAATCTTCAAACAAGGGCTATGACAAGAAGGTGTATAGAAGCCTAGAAGGGGATCTGTCAATGTTGGCATCTCTCTAGGCTTAAAATGAACCATCCCAGAGGCAAGAAGGGGACCTCATGACCATGTAGAAGAAGGAACAGGAACAAAGCCCTGCGATCCTGCTAGTCCTAGTCCCAGGAAGCAGAGAGTATGCACACTGCAACACCAGAAAACACCAGACGTAATGAGAGATTGCAAGCAGCAGTGGCAGACGAAACAGGAGACCTTCCAGGAGACCCGCAGGAAACAGCAGAGTCAGCCTCCTGGACCTTGGAGAAAGAAAATTGAAGGCCTTCTGGCAGGGTGCTCGCTGGTAGCATGGGGTGTCTCTGGGCACTCGCTGGAGTGGGGTCTGCAGGGTCACAGAGCAAGAGAGCTGAGAGCACTTAAAGCCAAGTCTTTATAAGAGAGTGGGTGCCTCTGGGCTAAAAGGGAAAAAAAGCTTGGTAACATTTGTCCAAGCAAGGCAGAGAGACCAGGCTGAGACTCCCAGGACCAGAGAGAGACCAGGGACAGCTGAGAAAAGGCTGTTCTGTTCAAGGAACTCTATCCTGAGTCATCCCTGCTACTGCATTTGTAACCTGTTGCTTCCCTAATAGACCCAGTAGCAGTGACCATGATCTACTAGTTCTGTGTGGCCACTGCAACAAATTCTCGACCCAGCATAGAAGAAGCAGTGAATACATGGGAGAGGCGCTGGTGTCAGAGCTGCTGAGAAAGTTGAAGAGCTGAGGCCCGGCTGGCCTCCACCCCTCAGGAATCAGTCCTGGGCTGCTGGTGCAGATAAGGGTTCTCTCTCGCCTAAAATCAGAGGAGGTCAGAGGGCACGGTCAGGAGTTAAAGAATCCCTTTGTGAAACAGCAAACACTTCACTCTCATAACTGTAGAGGAGCCTAGTTTCCAGGTTGGAGGGGAAGGAATGTAGGAGGAGCAACTCCCCAGCCTGTGGGGGCCCAGGAACCAGACTGCACAGAAGCTGCTCCACCTGATACACCCTGAGTCTGTGCCCAGAATCACGGGCAAGAGGAACTGTCTGTGGTCTCAGCAGGGGCAGAGCAAGAAGGTGGCTGAGCTGGCCTCCCGCAGGGCCCCACTGTGTTGCCCCAGATTGAGGTTTTAGGGGAAACTCCACCCCTCCCCACTCAAGGGAAAGTGAAGCTATTGAGGTTGGTTTACTGGGACTGCTCACAGCCAGCTTGGTCCCCGAGAGAGGGTATCGGCCTACACGGGTGCGGCCAGCCTCCCACAGCCCCATCAGCCCCATCAGCCCCAAGCCTGTCTCCGTCATCTGGAGGAAAGAGGCCCTTCGAAGGTCAGGGACAGATTGCTGGCCTAGCCTCTGTCTGTGTCACCCTCAGGCCCACATCTTCCTCCTGTAGAATCTGAAGGGGGACTGTCAGTGACGTGTCAGGTGATTGGAGTTAGGGAATGTGGGGGAAGGGTGAGGAAAGAGGCTGGGGAACCGACAGGGCCTGGACCATGAAGGGCCTCCCAGGCTATAAGGAGTTTGCACACTATATTTCTGGAGGTGCTAGGGAGCCACAGAAGGTGGTAGGGAGAAGAGTCCTGAGGCCAGATTTGGGCTCCAGGGAAGATCGCTGGGTTAATAGAGTGGAGGGTGGGCTGGACTCTAGCAGGAGCCCAGAGGGAGAAGGACATGGGGTCCCCTAGTCTAGTGGAGGGGACATCCTGACTGCGGGGAGGAGGGTCCTCTAACTAGAAGGTCTCAGTGCAAGTGCCCAGTGCCCTGTCCCTTCTTCTAGATGGTCATGAGATCCCCTTCCTGCCTCTGGGACTGCTCATTTTAAGTCTTGTGAGATGCCAAAACAGATTCCCTGATATGGAGCTCTGGTGGCCTAGTAGCAAGAAGCTGTGTTGCAATTCCCGAAGGCACACGGTTCGAGACCACCAGTTGTTTCATGGGAGAAAGGTGGGCAATCTCCTCTTGTGTGATTTACTACTTCTGAAAACCCGCGTGAGGACCAGCTGTGGGTCAGTTCCAACTCTACGGTACACACCAGGCCTCTACACACCTTATTTGCACAGCGTTTCCAATGCAAAAGTATGCAGTTCAAATCCATCAGCTGCTCCCCCAGGACAAAGACAGGCAATCTCCTCCCGTGCAGTTTACCACCAGTGCCAACCCGTTGGATGGTCAGCTACGGGTCTTTCTGACTTGATACAGAACAACAACCCTGCAAGACGGTCCATGGGCCCCGTGGTGAGGATTTTGTCTTCCTGCTGATCGACCTCTCTGCCCTTCCCCTGGAGGAAGCCTCCCTCTTCACACGTCCCTCAGGACTGGGCAGTGTCCATCCCCACCACCGCTGGCTCCTGCCTCCCTGACAGCCACCCTCCTCCCTCTTCTTTTAATAATAATAAAAAAAAATGGTGACAACGAACATCACAAACACCCGACCCTTTTGCTGTGCAAAGTGCACTTGAGAAAGGTGAGCTGTGCAAAGCTCATCTTGTTTTTCCAAGCCATTCCAGCACAGCGAACTAAACTCGGGCCCTTAAACCACCACACTGCTTCTTCCATCCCTTTACGGTCAGCCTCACAGCTGCTGGGTAGGGTTCATGGTGACCAGGGTTCATGGTTAGCCCAGGGCCAGGCTCACAGGGAGTGCAGAATGGAAGGAGAATAGGAAGGGCTCTGCCTGGCCTGGGGGGGGTGGGGGGGACATGAGAAGAGAGTGGATGGGGGTGAACACTCCATCTCCTCACGGCCTGGACCCCTCTGAGCCTTCTCTAGGGCTGACACAGACAGGCTGAGGACTGCAGAAAACCAGCTGGCCCCTCACTAGGCCCAGCTAGAGCTGTTGGCCGCGAGCCTGGCACCCTGCCCAGCCTGTCTTTAGCCTTAGTAAGGAGAAGGGGTGGTAGTCACGGTCCCAGCTTCTGGGGGAGACCGGGTGGGACCAGGGCCTGAGGGGTGCTCACTGCTCACAGAGGCTCAGAGAGCCGGCCACGCCGGGGCCCCTCCCAGAGAGAGCGTGCCTCGAGGCCTCTCCTAGCTAAGCTCCATCCCTGGAGGACCCCCGCACACTCTCAGCCATTTGATGATGATGATGTGTGTGTACCATCAAATCAGATCTGACCGGTACAGGAGGAGATTGTTCCTCCTTCTCCAGCAGAGCGTCTGGTGGATTTGAACCGCTCACCTCTGCGATTACAGTGCACCTTCTTGCTACTAGGCCACAAGAGCTCGCCATCTCAGCCATATTTTAAGGAACCCCCAAAGTCAGCCTGCTGGCCTCAAGCCCCCCTTTCCGCCAACTCTTGGACTAGCTCATTCTCAAACTATTTCCTGTTGGCTTCCTTCAACTTTGGGAAGGGTAGGGAGGGGATGGAAGGGGCGAGTGGGTGAGTGAGCGAGCTTGGACCCTGGGGGCGTGGCGAGAGAGGGCTCCTGCCAATCTGATTAGTTGCCTCTGCTCCAGAACTGAGGACAAACATTTCGTCAGCCCCGCCTCCAGAGGGCGTGCCCTGACGTCCAATTGGTCGAGCTTCTAGGAGGCGTGGTCACGAAAAGTGTCAGGTTCCCTTAAAAGGGTGAGAGAGTAGGTGCCTCCAGGACCCATCTCTCCTGTGCCTGGAGTCCTCCGACAGCTGGTGCGGCGAAGGATCACTCCATTCCCTCAACGATGGCTCCTGTAAGTGTGGGACCCCCCCCACCCCAAATCGCAGGGTTGAGATGAGGCAGACAGATCAGGTGGAGCTGGGGCCAGCACTCAGCACCTCTATTGGGTTCTGGAGTCCGAGTCTGTAAAATAGGGGGGCGAGGGCCGGGCACCCTGGTCCCCATATGGCTTCTGGAGCTTAAGAATGTTCTGGACTCCCCCAAAGTCTGACAGCACAGTTATTTCTGCCAAGGCCTCATGTCCTACAGCTTTGCCGCTGCTAAGAAATGAGAGTGGAAGAGTGTGGCCAGCAGGGGCGAGGGGGTAAGATGGCATGTTCTGGAGGGCCAGGACACTGTCCCTTTCCCCTCCTCTACCTCCAAGAGCCTTCTGTCCCCTTCCCTCTCCCCCTCGCCCGCCTCCCCCCAGCTGTCCCCAGTCACCAAGCCAAGGCAGGGCTAGCCTGTGCTCCAGAGAGCTTTGAGAAGTTCCAACCCGGAGCAGAGAGGCTGCTCTAGAAGGAGTCTGCCTGGGCTCAGGCAGGGGAAGGTGGTAAAGTCTCTCTGGTCAAGTGGGGCTGAGGGTACTCACAGCAGGCCACCCACTCACCCCTGGGGCTGGGAGGTGGGAGTTAGTAAGGAGGGAAAGAGGAGAAAGTCTTCCAAAAGCCCCTAGGAAAAGGGTTCAATTTTCTGGTGGAACCCACCAGTTAACTCCTGCCCACCCGGTGCTGGGCTCCAGGGGTCACATGTCGCAAGGTAGCTCCATCCACCTTCAGATGCACGCTGTCTGGTTAACCCCCAGACTCCTGGGCTGCAGACCTGAGCCCCTGGCAGCATCCTGTCTTAGAAGGGGCCTGGATGCCTGTGCTCCTAGGGCGTTCCCACCTGGCTATGAAGGAGGCAATGGCAGCGCCCCCTTACAAACCTGCCTTTGGGTCCAGTGCCAGGAGCCTCCTGCCGACTCCCAGGTGGTTTGGGGCAAGCCTGGTTCTCTCCATCCTGTCAGGAAGCAGTGCAGCAGCCCAACCTCCTGGTGACTTAGAGTCTAAAACCCTCACAAGCCTCTAGAACCCTTTTTCTAAAAACTCACTCAGATTACAGAGAATGGATTTGCCCAGAGCCACACTGCGTTCCTAGGCCCTGCAGGCTCTCAACTGGCCTCGTTGAGGATGGGGGCAGGGGTGCAGGTGGGCGACGCCCCTGCCCAAGAGGCCCTGACAAGCCGAGCCCTGGCTTCTAACCCTGGGATCTTGTGTGTGCAGGTTATGAGCATTAAAGAAATACAAATCAAGCACGGGGAGTCCATCCGATTGCAGGGCTATGTGACCTCTAACCCCAAGAGGTGAGGGGGCACAGGGAGGGTGGGAGGGTCCAGCCCAGGTGACTGTTGGGGCGTGGTGGCCTTGGCTCCTGGCTTGGGAGGGGATAAACCGGCTGCCCGCAGATTCCCAGGGAGTCACTTCTTCCGTGGGGTCTGGGAGCCCCCAAGACTCAATGTTCCCTTAAATGAAATCAGCTGCTGTCTTATACCTCAGCTTGGTCTGGGCCCTGGGGGGCAGAAAGGGTGAGACTGGAGCTTGGAGGGGGATGTAAAGAGAGGGGTCACCCCTCCCTCTGCGAGGTCTTTACACTGCCTTTCTCATTCACTCGTTCAGCCTTGACGTCATTCATTTCTTCAGCTGGCCTGGTTTCCCAGGGGTCATGTGAAAGTGGAGCAGTCGGCTGCCACCTTCACTGAGACTCAGTTTATTATCCATCAGGAGGGCAAAGGGCGGTCATCAGGTAGAAAAGATGCCAGACACTCTCCAGGTGCCATCTTGATCAATACTTATAAAAACCCTCCTCCCAGCTGCGCACTCACTCAGGCCTCGGTACTCGCTGGGAGCTGTACCACGCACTAAAGACGCAAGGTCCACAAGGCAGAGAGGACCCTTGCCCCCTGCCTCTCCTAAAGGTCACCCCCTGGAGGGACTCTCTGCCCTCCAATGAAAGTGCCCAACATCACCAAGAGTGCGAGGCTGTCAGCACAGCAAGACACCCTTACACACCCTTCTGGACTGCCCCCATTCTTCAGATGAGTAAACTGAGGCCCACAGCTGGGCAGGGACATGCTCCAGGTCACACAGCAAGCAGCCGGAGCCCAGGGTTCTTGTGTCTCAGTGCACACATTTTCCACGGAGGTGTCCTGAATGGCACAGAGAAAGAAGATTTACCCCCCCCCCCTCTTCCCTGACCCCATAGCTTCACATTGAACCTGGGCCAAGACAGAAACCTTCTGGTCCTGCACTTCAACCCTCGCTTCCAGGAGTCCGGAGGCGTCATCGTGTGCAACAGCCGGAGCCAGGGTTCCTGGGGCATTGAGCACCGGGAGAGCATCTTCCCCTTCGAGGCGGACTGTAGCACGGAGGTGGGCTATGCTGGGCACACCAGGGGCTGGGGCGGAGCTGGGTTTAATGGTTAGAGACCCAGGCCTCTCCTTCTCTTCCCTGTCCTCACTGCAAGAGACCTCTGATGTATGTTAACCCCAACAGCCTCCCCTGTTCTTGTTATGTGCCCTCAAGTCGCCTGCGACTCTTAGCGACCCTGTGGACAACAGCCCTGAACCCTGCTCTATCCTGCGCCAACCTTATCGTTTCTGACACACCAACCCCCATTACGCCAGTCACTGATTCAATCCATCTCATCGAGGGTCTTTCTTTCCTATGCTGTCTCTCTACCCTCCCAAGCATGACATCCCTCTCCAAGGACCGGTCCCTCCCTGCAACATGTCCAAAGTGTGTCAGACAAAGCTTCAGAACCAGCCTGGTCTCACCCTCTCCAGGATGAACATGTTTGTTCTCCTGGCAGTCCATGATATATTCAATACTCTTCTCCAGCACCACAGCTCAAAGGCATCAATTCTCCTTCTGCCTTAAAAGTCATAGCCGTTGAATTGGAACTGACTCATAGCTGACATTCCAGAGGGTTTTCCTGAGGCTGCAAATCACACAGGAGGAGCCTGCCCATTTTTCTCCCGCAGAACCGCTGGTGGATTTGAACCACCTGAGAGAGAAGCTGCCTTTGGCTCAGCAGTGTCGTTCCCTACAGGCTAGGCCACCAGAGCTCTCTGCAAAATGAGGCTCTTTCTGGGCTGCATGGCAGGAAAGGTTGGCGGGGGCTGTGGTGCCAAGCCTTCTGCAGCCAGGTCCCGCTGGGCCCAGCTGCTCACTGCTCTTCCCTGCCCCTCAGGTGTTCGTCACCTTCGACAAGAGTGACCTGACCATCAAGCTCTCTGATGGGTACTCATTCAAGTTTGCCAATCGCCTCGGCATGGAGGTCATCACCTTCATTGAGGTCCACGGCGACTTTAAGGTCACTGGCCTGAGCTTCGAGTGAAACCAGCTGACTCACAGCCCCCAATAAAGGCAGCTGCCTCTGACCTGGCTTCATGTGTGCGTGTCAAATTCAGTACTTAAAGAAAATTCAGTATATATATATATATACTCTTTTTTTATTTTTTGGGGAAAAACATGTTGGGGATACAAGGAAGAGAGGGTTGGTAGCAGAAGAGTGAGGATGGGCAGGGATGAAATTGCAGGGATGCAGTTTCAGGGCTGCACAATTTGGTTGGAGGGGGGAGCAGGTGAAGGAAATGGAAAGTATCTAGTGGGGACCAGATGATACAGGGTAATGGTAAGCATAGTCCAATGGTGATTAAATAAACAGTCTTATTCACTTGTGGGTTTCTCATTTGGGAATTTTGGGAATTGGGCGCAGACTCTCTGGCTTCTTCACGCTGAACAGGGGTGTTGATGTCAAGGGGGAAAGGGAGCACACTTCATCACCTTACTGGTGGTCTTGGGTTAAGGCTCCTTGCCTTCTTGTTCTGTTAGAAGACATTTTCCTGACATTTACTCCCCTCTGGACTGCAAAGTGTTTTCCCAGGCGGGTCCAGTGGGGATGGTTGTCTGAACCCTGAGGCTCCATCCTCCTTTGTGTCCTTAGCTGGCAGTTATATTTCCTTTTTGTCTCTGGAACCGGGTTCAGGGTCAGGTCTGGAGTAAAACTCAGTGTTAAGGTTACCTATAGGAAAAGGAGCAAACCTAGAGAGAACAAACTTGTGAGTTACAAATAGAAGGGCTTTGGGGGTATTATGGGTATACTGGGGGAGAGGGTGGAGGAAAGTAGCCTAGATAAAATTCTCTGTACACCCTAGGCAGTTTTTTCTACCCAGGGGTTGGATGGCACAACATGAGGGCTGAGGAGTTCACCCCGAGAGCCGGCTCACCCCAAGGGCCATCTCAGCCCGAGTGCTTGCTCACCCCGAGGGCCAGACAGCTCATCCTGAGGGTCAGATGACACACCCTAGGGGCTGGCTGGCACACTCCCCCACCAAAGTCTCCCCCGCCCGAGTCCGGGCCCCACACTTCACTGAAGACCATGTGGCCAGGGACAGAGTCCCCAATTCCGGCACTGCCACCATTAACCCCCCTGCCATAAGCGGCCATACTGTAATTTTAATTAGGTGTCACTGCCCTTCCCCTTTATAAATGAAGAAGGGGACCTGAGAGTGGTGAACAGACCTCCTTCCCCCAGGTCTAAATAGTTCTTGGCGGATGCAGTCAACAGATCAAGAGATGCAGTGCATTGAGGATATCTGCCGTCTTAGACATGCTGCCACTGTTAAGTCTCATCAAGTCATAGACAGCTCACAGTGACTCTCATCAGTCCACTGTATTGGCGATCGTCCTCTCTGGCCTGTCCAAAGAAACCCCAATCTGCCACTGCATCTCCTGCTACCACCATCTTGGCTCCAAGAATTCTCCCCAGAATAAGTCCACTCTGAGGCCGTGTAGCGGCTCTGCTGCACCAGCCTGGTGGGGGGTGCGGCGGTGCCTACTGTCCATCCCAGGTGAGGGGATCCCTGGGGTCTGGCGGTGGGAGCCCCATGGAGCTGTGACAGCAGTGGGGGATCTGCACCAGGGGGCTGGGAGCTGCGGGACTCACCCATTCCTCCCTGGAAATCCTTGATCTCCTGCTGCTGGGCCTCAATCTGCACCGAAGACCAGTCATCAACTGTTTAACTGTTCAATTATCAATAAACAGAGGTTTGTAGAAGGCATGGTGGCCTTTCTCCATGTGGTCTGCTGCTCCTGCAGCTCGTCATGCTGTTTCTGCTGCCATCGCCATCTTGGAATCCCCTATACCTCATATATATATATACACACCATATGTATCTGTGTGTGTGTATATACACACACACACACACATCTATATATGCCACATATATCTATACCACATACATACACCGTATATATCATATATATACACTATATACATTTATGTTGTTGTTGTTATGTGCCATCAAGTCGCTTGCGACTCATAGCGACCCTATGTACAAGAGCTCTATACGCTCTTCTATCCTGTGCCAACCTAGCTATCTCAAACACACTTATTCCCACCTCTCTAGTCACAGAATCGGTCCATCTCATCAAAGGTCTTCCTCTCCTTCGCCACCCCCCCCACTCTGCCAAACATGATGTCCCTTTCCAAGGACGAGTCCCTTCTTGCAACATGCCCAAAATACGTCAGATGAAGCTTCAGAATCCTTGACTCCAGGGAACATTCTGGATTCACCCTCTTCAGGACAAACCTGTTTGTTCTCCTAGTAGTCCATGGTATATTCAACACTCTTCTCCAGCACCACAGCTCAAAGGCATCAATTCTCTTCCTATCTACCCTAGTCACTGTCCAACTATCTGATGCATAGCACGTAATTGCGAAGACTATAGCCCGCATCAGGTGCACCTTAGTCTCCAGTCTGACATCGTTGCTCTTCAGTACTCTTGAGAGGTCCCTCACAGCCGACTTTCCCAATGCAATTCGTCTCTTGATTTCCTGACTGTTGTTACCAAGAGCGTTGACCATGGAGCCAAGTAAACAAAAACTGTTAACTATCTCAATCTCTTCACCA